CTGGGAGGTGTGGGAGCCGGTGGGATGCCTGTTCCACTGGAGGAGAGGGTCTGGGAGGTGTGGGAGCCGGTGGGATGCCTGTTCCACTACTCTCCAGAGGAGATCTATAACTCATACTGAGTTTTGGGATTAAATTAATTACAAGTAGGTAGAAAATGAAGCATATGAAGAAACAAGGCAACAATTAGCTCCAAAGAAAACAAAAATATCATGTTGGAAAGAAAAAGGAAACCACAGCAGCCTATAAGGCCCAGCCATGAAGAGCTTTCTATAGTCTAGGGATGCAGACCCTGGAAGTTCTGACTCCTGAGTTACAGTCTAACTTACTTGGGGGGGGGGGGGGAGAAGGGAAGAAGGAGAGGATGGGAACGGCGTAAGTGGGGGTGGGGGTTCCATCGTGTACCTTTTTTATTGTTTTGGTATTTGAACCATGGAAATGATTTTTCTAAACTGAAGTAAATTTTTAATGAAAATTGATTTACTATTTGTCATAGCTTCTTCAACAACTTATTTACATGAATATGTAATTCTCTCTTTTTCCTCTTCAGAAATTAAAACACAGAGCACGAGGTTGTTCACCTGATATCAGACAAATAGACCTTGACGTCAACCGCACGTTTAGGGACCATATTATGTTTAGAGACAGATACGGGGTGAAGTAAGTAAAGTTTAATGTTATGAAATACAAGTAGCCTTTATAAATAGTCTTTATCAAAGTCTTCATTAACTTAAAATATGAGAAGTGTTTATACTGTTTTCTTTTTCTTTTCTTTTTTTTTTGAGACAGCGTCTCACTTTGTCACCCTTGGTAGCTGTGGCATCACAGCTCACCCCAACCTCAATCTCTGGGGCTCAAGTGATTCTCTTGCCTCAGCCTCATAAGTAGCTGGGACTATAGGCACCTGCCACAATCCCCGACTGTTTTTAGAGATAAGGTCTTACTCTGGCCTCTGGCTCAGGCTGGTCTCAAACCTGTGAGCTCAGGCAATCCGCCTGTCTTGGCCTCCCAGAGTGCTGGGATTTGTACTGTTTTCTTTCAACTATAATTTTGATTTAGGTCCTGAAAGTTTAAGCTTTTGCAGATCATTTGATTCCATATTATGTGAAACTTAGGATTTAACTTAAATTTTTTAACTTGACAAATGCTAAAAAATTGATAAAGAATCATTTTGTGATTCGGGAATGCCTAGAAATATGGTAGATACTTTTATTAAAACTCTTAGAAAAGATATAAGAGATTATTCGTGTCAGTGATAAATATATACCTATCACCTTGACCTCACGCACACAAGAAACTAAGAAAGAGAAGTGAATGAATTGAGAAATTAAACTGAGTCTAACATCAGGTGTTGTTGCACCCTGCCGTGTCATTGCCGTGGCAGCCTGTGAGTAGCAGATAGTCTTTCTGACCTCTGTGCCAGCCAGGGTCCCACCAGAGAAAGAGAAGCCGGAAGGAGGCACACGTGAAGAGACTTATTTCAAGGTATTGGCTTGTCCAGCTGCAGGGGCTGATTAGGCAAGTCCAGAATCCACAGGGCAGGCCACCAGGAAGGGTGAGCTGCTGTTCACACAGGCAGAATTTCCTCTGCAGGGAAGCCTCAGACCTGCTTTTACAGCCTTTTCACTGACTAAGTGAGGCCCACCCTGATTATCTCAGATAATCTCCCTACTGAAAGTCAACACAGTGTAGGTTTATCTCCAGGTGATTATTATTTAACCAAGGCGACACACAAAGCCAACTTCATAGCCTGCCTTTGTCAGCCTGACCCACACACCCCCTTTAAACCACTCTCAATTTCCGCATCGGACAGTAACAGAGTCATCAGCTCTCTTACAGCTGAGCCTGCCAGTCCTTTCCCCACAGGAGGGTGCCAAGTCCTTAGGGAATGTTCACCCCTCTGCTTTGATGTCCTGCAGCATGAAGTTAACTCCCATTAATACAGCTTATGTTAGATGTGAAGAGAAAAGAGAAGGAAGATTTGTCACTGTATGTAAAGCACATTCCTACCAAAGTAAGGAGGAAACACTCGTGACAGTTACACAGTCATTTCTGAGACTGGTCCCATGGTCAGACCTTCTTCCACTGTCCATTCCATGGTCGCTTTCTCCTCAGCAAACACCTGAGCTAGTTGTGGTTCATTATCTGATGGGGTGACCCAAACCTTCATTCCTGAAAAATTTGGGGCCATTAGTAGTCCTGCTTGAATTGGTTATTGTAGTTTGCCAGCGACTTCAGTCACAGTGTGTGGTAGCACCAGTACAAGACGCCCCAGTGTGCTGTTGTCTTCTGGATGTCGTCCTCCTCTTGTCCACCAGGGTCAGTCACACCAGCAGGCACAGTCACCTGCTTCGCCTGTTGAGTCAGAGACGTAAGGAGCCCACAATGGTTAGGTGGAAGGTTCAGCCTTCAGCTCAGCGGAATCATTGTTAGGTCTTCTGGGGGACGGGCTTCTCCTTTTGGACTGAAGATCTCTAGACTAGCAGAGCCTAAGCTTGCAGAGAGGGAAGGCGAGTGGATCATTAGGGAGACGTGCGTCAGTGAGTGGGGTGACTGCTGTTTCCACCCTGGGAGCCCTGCATCCCTGAGTCCTGGCAGTGGGAAGACGGCAGCTTATAGCGGCGCCTGGTTTAGAGCGCACCCAGCTTCCTGAGGACACTGCCCCAGCCACGGAAGGACTGCGCCCAGCAGGGCCGTAGCCAAGTCTCCACCAGGCTGGATAGAGAGCAAGGTAGTTCAGTGAAAGAGGACAACAAATTCTAGTCTCAAATTTAGACTATTTAGAATATTGTTTAATTGAGCTTAGGATAATCTATTATAGTGGTAGTTTTATCTGGATTATCTATTTTCAGTTTGCCTGTGCTTTATTTTAATTTTGTAATTTTAAAAATACATGAAATAACTAAATTGTGTTTATTATACTTTTTTTCTCCAGGCAGCAATCCTTATTCCATGTTCTTGCTGCATATTCTATTTATAATACGGTAAGTTGGAGCATGCCTGCCCACTTCTCTGAGCTGTACTCTGAGGGGCTGGACGGCTCTCTTGGCCCTGCCTACCTACCAAGGCCCTCTGGGCACACTTCTTCACCTGCCAACTAGGGGATCTCACAGTCTCCTTTAGCTCTGTGGGGTTTCAAGCTGAAACCCTATAGCAGCCCTGAGGGTGCGGAGCAGACCAGATTTTGAGGTGGACAGACCTAGATAGGAGTACAGTTTGCCTGTGAATCTGGCCTTTTCTCTCCTTTGAGACTGTTTTTTTTTTTTTTTTTTTTTTTGTGGTGATGATTGTTTTGTTCTTACTTTTAAGTAGATAGGGCTGGGAATGGGCAGGGTAGGAGGACGGGAAGTTGATAGTAGAATAATTGTTGCCCGGCAGCTGCAGACTCTGTCTTTGATTTTAAATTCAGTGTCTGTGTTCCGTTCCCTCCAGGAAGTCGGGTACTGTCAGGGCATGAGCCAGATCACAGCTTTGCTCCTCATGTATATGAACGAGGAAGACGCCTTCTGGGCCCTGGTCAAACTCTTCTCAGGCCCCAAACACGCCATGCACGGTAAGAAAACCCGTTGTATTATTACAAACGTGAACAAGGGAGGAAAAAAGGGAAGTTAAATAAACTCTGAGGCACGTGGTAGAGTTCAGTGTAACAACTTTAATGTCTCAGGGCTCCTTTAAGTAATTAGTATTTGTTACCAGTTTCTTTCATTTTTCCTTATTGAACTTTACTGTTCACATTTATTTTCCTTTGTCTTTACCCCAAAGTATACGAACATTGTTGGCATTTTAAAATTTTTTCTTTACTTGACCTCAATTCAAAGAAAATTCCTCCAAATTTAGGTTTGGAGTGATTTAGGAAAAGATCTATTATTCGTAGCAATAAAGGATGCCTTTTGGTCAAAACCTTTAGAAGGTTGTGTACGTACCATGTCAGTGAAATCTTTACCATGCACTGGATATTGTGATACTCCTTTTCAAAAAACAATAATTGAGGCCGGGCATGGTGGCTCCAGACTTTGGGAGGCCAAGGCAGGAAGATGACTTAAGGAAGAAGTTTAAGACAAGCTTGGGCAACATAGTGCAACCCCATCTCTACAAAAAAATGTAAAAATTAGCTGAGTATAGTAGCACACATCTGTAGTCCCAGCTACTCAGGAAGCTGATGTGGAATTTGAGGTAGCAGTGAGCTGTGATCACAAAACTACACTCTAGCCTGGGTGACACAGTGAAACCCTGTCTCAAAAATATTAAGAAATGACACTTAGATGTTAAAAAGAAAGTAATTAAGTAGTTTTATATTTCAAGTGGAGTTCTTCAGCCGTAAAATTGGTTTAATTTTAAATAAAAGATTGATAACACAGCACTTGATTATATAGTGTTTCAAAACTTGAATAATTTTTTGGTTTTTGAGTTAGCACATTGTCCCCAGCCCCTTTATAAGTGTTCCCTTATATTTGCCAAGCTAAGCAGCAAGAAACTTTTATTTCAGAGAGTTTAGATTGGAACTTGTTTTGAAAGTAAAAGTAGCATTTGTTGATGTAATGTGAAATTATTTTCCAGTGCCATCCATGTGGTAATATCAAATTTAAAGCAGTTTTAACACAGATACCCTGAGAATGAATTATCTAAGTTCACTTTGTAGATATTTACGCTTTATGTAGAAGGGAACCGGCCACATATTTAAAGTACTCTTTTAATTTTAAATTATGACCCTCTGTCGTCCACTGTTGGTTAGGTCTCCCACTCTTACCAGGCGGCTGTCTGGGCAGGGTGTGTGTCCCTTCTCCTGTGCTGTTCCTGGCCGGTTATTTTAACAAATACCGTCTGGACCATCACTCTTTCTGGGCACTTTGTGTCCCGTAAATAGATTCTAGGTGCAAGACATGTCATTATATTGAGTTGCCGTCCAACAGACAGTATCATTTCAAAAAGCATCTTGAGGAAAAACAGCGCTTTCTTATCAGCCTTCATTTGCTTTCCCATGGGAAGGCTTTGCCGATCAGTCTTGAAGTACAGTGAATGTTGCAATTTCAGTGGTGTGTAATTATGTGGATGGCTGCCCAGTTTTAGAAAACAGTCATTTCTTTTAAATCTACTTGATAGCTTATCTTCAGCAATTATTGTCACCAGTCTAATCTATAAAACAATATTATTTCTACAATCCTAACATTTACGGTGCAATTTAGGTCATTATTATGGGTAAGTTTGTGCTTAGAGATACTTGTTTCTGTGTCTACCTGTGAAATTTTATAACTAAAGGGTGTCTTAGTTCTAAAGCAAAGGTAGGGGTGAAAAAGATGGCGTTTAAAATATGAAATCTAGGGCATCACTGAAAAGTGAAAAACGGTAGGCATCTTAGCCCCCTTAGCTAGTTATTGCTGAACTGTATTGACTTTTTCAAAATCAGACTTTTCTTGAAAAATTTCCAACTTCCATTCCTATTAAATTGACCGTGAAAGTGGCACTGATAGATATAGATTTTTTTATGAAACCATTTCACTGGAAAATATTACTAAGGTAGGAATAGAATTGCTATCTTCGGAAATTTTTACACACACCTTAGCAAACTGAGAGCTAGTTAAATAGTTCTGCCCGGTGGTTTGGAGAGCAGGTTTCTAACAGTGGGGGCCTCGGCTCCCTACTGGAACATAGTTTCATGTTTTGGAAATATATTCTGTGGGGCAAAATGAACTCCAAGATAAGCCAGGGAGACTGAGTTAAATAAAAAAAAATTTAGTTTCATTAAGTCTAAAAGACAACCTAGGAACCAGGCAGGGCGTATGTAACATACGACACGTCGTCTGGATTCCTTCTTAAAAACAGACAACACGTTTCAAAGCGGCATAGAACCCAGTCAGGAAAATACTGATGTGGAGAAATTGTCAAGTCCATTGACTATGTGTCCTTATTAATAGTTTGTATAGGTTCGGCGCCTGTGGCTCAAGTGGCTAAGGCACCAGCTATGTACACCCAAGGTGGCGGGTTCGAATCCAGCCTGGGCCCCCCAAACAACAATGATGGCTGCAACCAAAAAAATAGCCAGGC